GAAGGTGGAGGAGTGGCAGGAGGGACAGACCTGGATCCCAGCACACAGTGGCCCTGTCCCCTGAAGGTGAAGGTGGAGGAGTGACAGGAGGGACAGACCTGGATCCCAGCACACAGTGGCCCTCCCACAGTTGGAGAGTCACTGTGTGACAGGGCTGCAGCCCCAGACCTTCCTGGCACTGTGCCTTTGACTTGGAGGAGTGAGGGAGAGGTCCTCCTTCCCAGCCCACGGTGGTCCTAGATATCCATCCGGCTGCCGTTCCAGACCCGTCTCCCAGGAAGGGAAAGGAGGACAAGCTGGGCAGGTTGATTGTGTTCTTGTCTTTCTCTGTGTTGACKTCACATACACCCAGTATTGATGGTGTGTCCAAATCTGTGCTGTCGACATGTGGCAGAAGATACCGTGACCTGAGCAGTTGTGCAGGTTCTGGGTGTGAATGCTCCTGGTGTCTAACTCAAGCTGCCATCAGAGACGCAGCACATGCAGATGTGGGTTCAGGGGACACTGGCTCACTCTAGTATCCTCTGCTGCAGAACAGCAGAGCAAACACCTGCTGTCCCAGGCAGATGCAATAGACGTAAGTCATCCCTCGAGCTTCCCCCTTGGAAAAAGTGGCAGAAGAACCCTGAGATGATACTGTTTATGACTGCTTGTTCTTTATTTTTAATATTTATCTTTTAGTTGAAGTTCCAGTACCTTTATTTTTTAAATTTGTTTTTATGTGGTGCTGAGGATTAAACCCAGGGCCTTGCACATGCTAGGCAAGCGCTCTACTGCTGAGCCACAAGCCCCTGACTGCTTGTTCTTGATGGAATTTGTTTAATTGTTATGCTCACATAATTTAATTTTAAGGCCGCTGAGAGACACTGGCTCACAGATCCCTCGACCGTCGTCCTTCCAGTGCTTCTGACCCAAGACGGGCTAGACCCGGTGGACGCTGGAGCAGGAGGCAGAAGGCTCAAGGAGGGGGTGGGCAGTCAGTTCTCAGCGTGACTCCTCCTCCTTTCTGCCTGCTTCTCCTCTCCGGTGCAGAGTAGTCACAGACACGGGCCTTGAGGGTGGCTCCTTTCTCCAGGTGCCTCCCTGGAGGCCGTAGGCTCCCTGTGGCTCCCAGGGTACATTTCCTCCCACGGTAGCAGGTGTGACATTGGCACACTGCCAGAGAGGAGTGACTTTCCTGTGGACTCCAAGGTGCAGGCCATGGGGGTAAATGCGATTTCAAATTCCTCTTCTGTCTGCTCCTCTTCCCCTTTGAGGACCCCCCTCCCTGGCTTCTGGGTCTCACCCTGGCTGGGACTCCAGCCTCAATCTGCATTTTAGACCTCAGTCAGTCAGTGAGAGGAGCCAGGCAGAAACTGGGCCTGCTGAGCGCAGCACAAGACCAGAGCAGTGCCCTGGTGGCCCGGGGGAGGTTCCCAGGAGGTCCCCTGGCCCCRGGGTGGGCTTGGTGCAGAGCCTGGCCCCATGTGCCACCAGGACTGGCCAGCGGTGCCTGCACAGTCTGATCCCCTCGGCAGGCAGAGCCGCCCTGGCACATCTGCCAGCAAAGCACCCTGCTGGCTCCTGTCCTCCCAGGTCCCGTCCCCGCCTCCATCCACAGGGGCCCGGAGACTGTGGTCGACCTCCAGGGCCAGGTGGTGGTGATCACCTAGGTCACAAGTCCTCTTWGAAGCACTGGTGGTGTGACCTCGACAGGGCTGTTGGAAGAGGGAACTGATAGACACACCTCTGGCTTCTGTCTCGTGGCCCTCGAGTCAAAAACTTATTCCACCAGCAACACCYGGAACCACTCTCCTGCACTCTGTCCTTCACGTTGCTCCAATTGGCAGCATCAGGGGGTGGAGCCAGTGGAAGCAGAGGCCTGCTCTGGCCTCTTGTTGAGGTCAGAGGCCCGGTGTGAGGAGGCAGGCCTGCCTGGGAGGACCGACTCAACCTCTGTGTCCCTGGCGGCTGCTTCTTGGAGTGTTGGCTAGTTTCTGAGAATATCCTGTTGGGAAGGTTTCTCAGGAAATTTTAATTTTGTTTAAAAGCATTATTATTTTTTAAAATATTTTTTAGCTATAGATGGACACAATACCTTCATTTTATTTATTTATTTTTAATGTGGTTCTGAGGATCAAACCCAGTGCCTTACACGTGCCAGGCAAGCGCTCTGCCACTGAGCCACAACTCCAGCCCCCAAAGCATAATTTGTAATAGGTAATCCCATGACAGAGTGCGTAGTTCTAGAAAAGGCTGGATTGGCAAAGCCTGGACTTTGGTTTTCCATTTTAGTGTCCTGTTCTTTCTCCGCTGACTGGGTCCTTTTCAGACGCACTTGGAGACAGATTCCCCTTTCTCTTGGTTTTACATCAAACTAATTCAGGAATACCATCTCTTTCCTTTTTTATTATATTTTTAATCTCAAGGACACTTGCTATTTTGATTCTAGAACTAAGATGTTGAAATGGCCCGTTTCTGTAACGCTGCCCCGTTTTTCAGGGTTCTCAGACACTGAGCAGCGCCCTGCGCTCTGCGGCACAGGCAGAGACTTCAGGGTGAGTGTGTGCTCCCTGTGGAGCTCCACGCTGGCCACACCCCAGGAAGGGGTGGTGCCCTGGCTCTCCCACTCGGCCCTGCTCCTCTTGTGCAGGCTCTTCCTGCCCTCCSTGGGGATGCAAGGGCACTGCCCTTTCTTCTGTTTTCACTGTGAGAGGGGCTGGTTGCACAGGGCCAGGTGGGAGCTGGGGCTCCCTGCTTGGGCCGACTCCAGCTCAGGTCTCCTTGTGACTTCCGGGTGGATGGAGGGTGGGCTCTCGCAGTCTGCACACATCACGGGGAGGCAGCTCAGCCTCCYGATTTCAGAACAAAACTCTGGCTCTCCTGGTGGACATGTAGCCGTGGCGGGTGAGGTCAGGGTCCCCTGGTGCGTTCCTGAGAGAGGCCTTTGTCACTGTGCCCCGTTGCCTTGCTAAGTCCTCTTCCTCCTAGCCCTGGGCTGGTGCGAAGGCTCTCTGACCTCAGCTGCAGGGCCCAGGTGGTTGGGGCTAGAATAACACAGAGAATCCGCCCCTGCCCCTCCCGGGTCCCGCCCGGCACAGCTGCCTCCCCTCCGGGCTTCATGGTGGGTAGTGCTTGCCCTGCCACACCTCGGCTGTCAGCAGGCCTCCCAGACGGGCTGGGAAAGGTCTCCACCTTCCCAGAAGTACAAGTCCTGATATTATTATGACGCTCAAAACTGGTGAAGTGCTCCCCAATGTGCTCTCAAAACATAAAGTAGCTTTTGCAAAGCAAAATGGGGCATATCTAATAAATAAGTCTGTTGTCTCACCCTAAGCACTACCGAAGACCTCCAAATCAAGKTCTCTGTGTCTCACCATCTAACAACGTCACTTCAACAAAATGATTTTTCTTCCTGTGCCTTTAATAGCAGCCTGCAGTTGGCTGTGCCGAACTGTGCTCCTGACTCAAGAAGCAGGTGGAAGAGTTCAATGTCTCTGGATGTAGGAAAAGCTTATTAGAGCTGGGACTGACACTCGTTTACTCAGGACACAGCACTACACCCTAGAGATACTGAGGACACAGCACTGAAACCTAGAGAGAGCTCAGATCATAGAGGGATTCTGTGTCATGGGAACGTGCAAGGCAGGGACAACTGCAGAGGGGACTCCAGGGGAGGAGCTCCCAGAGGTGACCGGGAGCTGCTCTGGGAGCCCCCAGTGGGCTGGGCACGGCTCGAGCTGACACAGAAACACAGGGGGGCGGGGAGAAAAACGGCCTGTTAGGACAGCTGTGAAGGGCACTGTCAGAGCACCCCATATGACAAGGCCACACTGTGCCCGMAGCAAGGACAGCGCGCTCTGCTCCACCCGCTCTGCTGGCCAGCCCCACACCAGGGCTTGCAGGAAGTCTCCCGTTCCCTTCTCATGTCAACCCTTTGAGAACTCATCATCACTATTATTAGCCACACTTCAGAGGTGAGAAAGCTAGTGTCACATCCGGACTCCTGCAGGTAGCCAGGAGCAGGGCAGGGTTTCCCCAGGGCTGCCATGGCAGAGCAGCACCTGGGTCCCCGGCAGCAGTAGGCGGGGCTCTAGAGCCCAGAACAGGGACACTCCCTGCAGGTTTTCATGCATGTGCACCTTGTGTTGCAGATGCAGGCAGCATGGACCTGGGCAAGAAGGTCAGCGTCCCCAGAGACATCATGGTGGAGGAGTTATCCCACCTCGGCAATCGCGGCGCCAGGCTGTTTAAGATGCGTCAGAGGAGGTCTGACAAGTACACGTTTGAGAACTTCCAGTACGAAACTAAAGTGCAGAGAAACGTAGGTATAACTGAGCTGCTGTCTAAACCAGCGGGCCACGTGTGCCTGCCTCACCAGACTCCCAAACAGGTTGCTCTACATACTTTCTTCCAGTTGAATCTGTGAGACGTTGTGTTTTGTGGTAATGAATACCTTAGGTGGAGAAACAAAAGAAGCATTATGTATGGTGTGAGCCAGCTTGGGTTCAATAGGGACATTGTGACCTGCAGACTTGGCACCAGGAGTTTGTTTCTTTCGGCAAAGCCAGGGTGAGGGAGTGGGGAGAAGCAGGGCTAAAAGTTTCCAGGGTCTTATCGCCACCAGTTGAATGTTTGGGATGCAAACACATCCCAAGCACACAGTGATCCCCAAAGCGAGGACAAGCACAGTCTGGCCAAATGCCCTACCCCTGCCCCCAAGACTCTGGGAGCCACCGACCCAGGGCTACTCTCAGCACTTGTTCACATCCTGTAGGGAAGCTTGGTGCCAGTCAGTGACAAAACCACAGCCGACACAACTCTAGACAAAGGTTTGCCCAGCTGAAAGCTGATAACAAATTAACTAATGCAGCCCTGCCTTACCTATTGTGGCGACACTATCGTCCCCGACACGCCATTAGTGCAATTGCTGAGGAAGGAACTCTCAACTACCAGGCACAAAGAGTCAGAGAAACCCTGGGAGGGACAGTGGGGACCACAACAAATGTGCTCCATGGCTAGGTCTCCTGGAGCTGGGGGTCTGCTGTCTACCTGCCGGCTTACCTGGACACCACCTGTGCTAGGGCTCCTGGAGCTGAGGGTCTGCAGTCTACCTGCCAGCTTACCTGGACACCACCCATGTTAGGTCTCCTGGAGCTGGGGGTCTGCAGTCTACCTGCCGGCTTACCTGGACACCACCTGTGCTAGGGCTCCTGGAGCTGGGGGTCTGCAGTCTACCTGCAGGCTTACCTGGACACCACCTGTGCTAGGTCTCCTCCTGGAGTTGGGGGTCTGCAGTCTACCTGCAGGCCTACCTGGACACCACCTGTGCTAAGTCACCTGGAGATGGAAGGGCTGCAGTCTACCTGCAGGCCTACCTGGACACCACCTGTGCTAAGTCACCTGGAGATGGAAGGGCTGCAGTCTACCTGCCGGCTTACCTGGACACTACCTGTGCTAGTCTCCTTCCAGAGTTGGGAAGGTCTGCTGTCCACCTGCAGATTTATGAGTGCTCCCGCCTGCCTCTCCAGCAGGTTGTGGATGGATGGCCACTTGTTTTRAGCAGACTGATCTACTAGGTTCTTTTACCAGAATTACTAAAACAAATAYAGAATGCAATATCTATACCCATAAACCACATCTCATTAATTCCTCAAGTTTCTCTTCACTTTGCTATGCTTATTAATAGTAAGTGTTGAGAAAACACTTTAAATTAGAAATTTCATTTACCCAGGGGTGAGGGACCAGGGACCCAGGGGTGAGCTCAGTGGTAGAGCATGRATGAGGCCTGCGTTCAATCCCCAGCACAGCACAGAAACACACAATGATAACGAGATGCTTTTCACATGAATGAGCACTCTTCAACAAGCCTGGATTCAGCCCAACTTGGTTGTGAGTTCCAGTGGACTGCAGCAGTCATGCCCAGCTGCAGCAGACCAGTTGTGAAGGACCACTTTCCACTGGATGGGCTGACAGAGCCACGTGACAATGCACAGTGTCCTCCCGTCAGAAAGTGCCCGTGCTCACACTGTGAGAGCTGAAGAGGGACCCGCATCCCACCCCAGAGCCTGGTTAATAATCGCATGCTTTCATGAGGGGACTTGGTGGAATGATAAGGTGCCTTAGGAACATCTTGAAAAATCGCCTGCACATGAGGCATCTAGAGAAGGAACGGCGCAGTCTGCTTAACCTCCTCCCGATCCCCACGGACGGTSTGCCGACTGCAGGTCTGGRGGAAGTGCCACCAGGCAGGAAGTTCCCTCTRGGCCCAGGTACTCTGGTCACCAGCATCTGCATTGGCTCTGGGGGCAGTGTTCTGGACAYCCAAAAATCCGGACAYGCTGTGAGAAATCATCGCTCTTCCTAGAAAACTGGGCACTGTTGGATACAACGGCCCCAAAGAGGCTGAAATAAGCCACCGAATGCTGGTAGATAACTCCGCAGTAAGCAGCCAAATCTGATGAGAGGGACTCTCTCTAGGAATGAGAGAGTGTCATTTGGGAAGCTCTGAAGCCTGAAGGCCAGCTCCCAGGGCTYAGCCTGGCCTGGAGCCAGGCAGCCCTCCTGCCTCTGCCACCGGCCTGTGATCTGCAGTGAATTTGAAGTTTCTTTGCCTTTCTGGWTTTGTTTCCTCATCTGTAAAATATGGCGGGGACTCAACGGCTCCCTAAGGTGCCTTCTGACAGGAACAATGCGCGGTCTCTGATCTTGCGTGAGACCTGTGGGTACCCTAAACCACTGCRACAGACATCAGCCACTTCCCAGGGTGAGTGTTCCTCAGGAGCAGTGGTGATGCCACGGAGGCCCACAGCTGTGTCCCCCAGACCAAGCTCCACTTATCCGTCGACACTGTGGCCAACATCTACAGAGCCCTGCTACATTCCAGGTACTATGTGGGGAGTTCAAGCACAGATAGATAGCTGGGCACAGTGGCCCAGACCTGGGATCCCTGCGGCTCGGGAGGCTGAGGCAGGAGGATTACRAGTTCAAGGAAAGTCTCAGCAACTTGGCAAGGACCTAGGCAACTTAGCAAGACCCTGTATCAAAATAAAAATATAAAAAGGTTTGAGGGTGTGGCTCAGAGGTCAAGTACCCTGGGGTTCAATCCCCCTTACAAAAGTAATGATACTAATTAATTAATTAAACAAAGTAAACACAGCTTCCATCTAGTAAGGAAGAAACCAAGTACCACTGACAGAAAGTAACTGTGAGCTTGCGATCGGGTCCTTGAACCATCTTTGTATGTCACCTATGTCAGTCTAATGTATCAACCACTTTGGGGAACACACTTTGTGCTTCCCTTGAGCTATAGTATTGTCAAAACCATGACCTAATTATCACCCCTGTTTTAGTATGACGTTCAGGACCTCACACTGTTGAAGATCTAAATCAGATCCTTCACAATCGATTCTATTCATTCAAACAGCAAATATTATTTTAAAACAAAAAGCATGGATTCAGCTTTGAGCTTGCGCTCCTACTGAGGGCCACTGGCAAATTCCAACCACATTCACTTTCGGGGATAAGATAATAAATACAGGAAATGTGTGTTGGTGAAAAGAAGTGGAGAAACACCGCGGCTGCCGGAGCCCGTTCTGAACTGCCTTACTTCTTGGACTAAGGCACAGGAAGAACACGAGGAGAACAGCACCAGGCCACGAGACAGAGGGTGAGTCAGATGAAGGCCTTCCCTCTGTTTCCGACATCTCCAGATCTCCAGGACTCTTGAGAAATGCCGGCCACCATGAGAAGTCATTTTGAAATGAGACCATACTACGTAGACTGGGATTCTGAATATATATTTATTTTGTTCAAAAATGACTTCTATGTATTTGGCACAAAGTACAGAACACACCCCAAAGAATCCCACTTTTTCCCAATGATATTTTAACAGACACCATGTCACATTTTAAGTCACATGCTTCTGCTGGAGTGGTAACAGGCGCCTGTAATCCCAGGACTCAGGAAGCTGAGGCAGGAGGGTTGCAAGTTCCAGGCCAGCCTCAGCAACTCAGCAAGATCCTGTGTCAACATAAAAAATAAAAAGGGCTGGGGTGTGGCTCTGTGGTGAAGCACCCTGGGTTCAATACCCAGTGCCAAAAACAAACCTTACAAGTTTGTGACCTATAAGATGCACTTCCAGCTTTAAATTGTCCACGGTCAGCTTACCTAAGATACAGAGAGATGCGTTTTCCGTGTCYGGCTCTTGTGCGGGGAACCACAGACAACCTGGGGAGCTGCAGTGTGAGGCCGGGGCTAGCTGAGGCGGTCCCTCCTGACCTTAGAGGCTCTCCCTTGGGTGTAGCAGCGGCAGTGGGGTCCAGGCATCTCCTGATAACAGGGGACTGATGGGGAGAGGTGAGTGACTTCCTGTCCACTGTCAGTCCCCTCGAGGGGAGAAGGTCAGTCCTGTACCCTAGGAGACCACTGGTGGTCAGAGAAGGYGCTCACCTCTCCACTGTGCATTGGAGTGTCCTGTATTCACCTCAGCTGTGCTTTTATTTAAAAGTTGGCCTGAACTTTCCACTTTAATGGGTATTATAGATTCAGAAGTTWAAAAAAAACTAGTCAATTAAGCTGAACACTCAAGATCTAAACTCAAACTGCAAAGCGTTGTGTCTATGTGTGTCTGTGACAGTGCTTTGCCTTTAGCAATTGATTATCAAAGTCGTGTTTAAGCAAAACTTTATCATAGAACAAAGGAAAAATCATGACTGGGCTCTGTGAGATTCAAACCAGAYGATGGATCAGTTGGGGACCCAACGTGACACAGGTGACACAGATGCAGGAACAAAACACAGCTGACAAGAACAGGAAGGAACAGGAGAGGGCCGCAGATGTGGCCGCTGTGCTGAGACGGTGTGGGGTGGCCTGGGGGTGAGGATGGTCAGAAGGAAGGCGGAGGCTTGGAGACAGCCTCAGGMGGAACTTGGGGTGTGGGATGATGCTAGGAGCCACAGCAAAAATATTGATACCGGCACCTTTGGGTTTAGTGACTGCCAGCCAGCCATTCAAATTATGATTATGTTAAGTTACATTATTATGGTAATTGTCTCCTGTTGTTTACCTGGGCCCGGTTCGGGACTCGGGTTACTCATGTCACTCTTGTAATGGGAGAGTTCCCATTGGTTGGGAAAGGATGGTAGGAGGGTGTTCCGGGGGAAGGGGAAGCCCCCCGGCTCAGGTAGAACACACGTGGTGGACCCACTTGTTAGGGGACACGGCCTCTCACAAAATAAAACTTTGTCTCAGTTTGACTGGCTTGTGTTTTTGTGCCCAACCGGGTTGCAAGATTGCAAGCCGGTGTGCACTGACAGCCCAGCAGGGAAGCGCTCAGCAGGGGTGCGGCAGGCAGTGCTCAGCGACAGCAGCGGAGCTCAGCCAGCCCGCTCGGCCCGGGGCCGGGAAGCCTGCGGCAGGATGACTGGGAAGAGATGGGAGGAAGCAGCTGGGAAGCAGGGGCGTCTGCAGGCAGGGAGCAGACCTAGGAGGGTGCTGCAGACCGCCAGGGTCTGCTGCCTTTCACTGGTYGCCAGCAGGGAGCAGCCCGTAGGAAGGACTCGGGCCACGCTCTGAAGCACCTGGCCCAGGCCCCTGAGGAAGCAGCGCTCCTGGGACTCCGACGGGAGTGTGAGCTAAGGGAGCGTGCAGGTGACCCCAGAAGAGCCTGAGTGGCAGGGACAGGTAGGTGAACCCAGAGGAAGAGTGTGAAACGGGGCACGTGTTTAAATAGCCCCCAGGGACACTCGGGCATGATTTGCTCATTACATTTCCAGCAAACCCTCCACGCAGGGCCCTGAACAGCGCAAGCGAATGGGTGAACCCTGTTCCCAGGGGACCAGGAGTAATGAGCGAAACACACCCAGACCTACACGGCGGAGTTYGGGGAATGACCGGGAGTGCGGGAGGACAGACCTGGGAGGCTGCAGGGAGAGCGGCTGCAGGGACAGAGTGACCGACCCTGGGGATGCACAGAGGGGGTGCGCGGAGCCACCGGGAATCCTTCCAGGTGACCCGCACCTGGGAGTTCTCAGCAGGAGGACTGGTGGACGCTCCAGAACTGATGGCGATGAGACCCGATGGGCAGGTCTGAGTGCCAGGCCAGCTTGGCTCTCTTCAGTGCCCGTGTGAGGGTTGGTGGAGTGAGGCGGGGTGCAAGTGGGTGTGCAGGGCTGAAGCACTGAAGACGCTCACAGGGTTGATGTTTTGCTGTGTAAATCAGCCCCAGGCAGAGACAGCTAGGTCCTACCTCCTGGAACTGAAGTCCTCTTGCTCAATGGTGCTCTTCTTGGAAGTGTATGGTTCTAGAACAGGCAAGTAGTGAGTCGGAGGATCCGTGTGACACCAAGGTGACCGTTCACGACCGTCTCATTTTATACTGACTCTGCTCCAAGCCAGAGCTAAGCAGCTCGCAAGAGGACGGAGCAGAACCTCTGGTGTTTTCCTTTGTTTGTTGGTGCGTGACAGTTGCATRTGGTGGTGGGAGGCGTGGTGACATGTGGGGATGTGCACAATAATCACAAGGGGCCACTCTATGGATCATCCATTGATTACCATTATTGATGGGAAACCAGGCCTTCTGGACACTGTGGAGGTGAACTGTACACAGGTGGCTGGAGCACGCAGGCCAGGACACCTTTCCTTCYGTCCCCATTGATCAGGCCAGGAGCCTAGTTTATGGCCTTTGTGGTATTTGAATTTTAGGACAAAACAGACTTTTATTACTAAATTTTTGTAAGGTTAAATAAGTATGAAAATGTAAAGGCATATTTGTCACAAAATCTAATAAATTTAGAAATGAAAAAGCATTAGTAAATGTTTTCTACACATTTCACAGAGAACAAAGGTCAGGGTTAGTCTCTGCCGTGCTCTTCACTGCATCTTTCTTTCTGAACTCGATCTTAGGTACCTCTTTTCAAAATACATGTTTTCCAGACATAATCAAGAAAATACTTTGTTAAAAGGGTAAGTCCCAGCTGTACTTCTGAGTACATAATCTATTAGAGGTTCTACTTTTCTCTTTTTAAATGCAAAGTTTTAAGGTAGTAGATCATTGCCGTAGAAGAAATACAAATTGTAATACCAAAATAATTCATTTAAAACCTGAGACAACCATCTCTTTTAAGTGTTTTATTTTCTAAAAGTTTTCCCTCTGTAAATTCATGCATTTATAGTGTGACTGTTCCTTCTGTTGGTGGGGGAGGACTTGGTATGCRAAACTACTATTCAAATTTCATATTAAAATTTAAATTTTTACATAGTAAAGAATCCAAAGCCCAGCTACAAAATACAAGGGTAATTGGCCAGAGAGCTCCACATCATTCAACTAGTGCCCATCAGGAATCGCGGCCACTGGCCTCACAGGAAGGCTCGACCTGGACTTGAGTGATGGACGTGAAGCCCAGGGGCAGACCTGGCGCACAGCAGGGCTCGTTACAGGCAGGTCTGGGTCGGGCACAGGAGAATGCTCAGGAGCAATGGCCTGGGTGAAGCTCCGCCGTGCCGGGGAGGGTGACCCGCGTCTGAGCGTTCTCAACAGACTCTCCTTTTACCAACGCAGCACAGCCTCGCCATGCAGAACGGGAAGCTGGATGGCAGCATCCTGGAGGGGGGCTCCCAGCAGGCCCCCCTGACACCTCCCAACACCCCGGATCCGCGGAGCCCTCCCAACCCAGAGAGCCTCGCTCCAGGTAACTGACCTCAGGGCCGGAACGGTGGAACTGCCGGCCTGAGGCCAGACCCAGGCCTGGGAGCCTTCGTTAAACGCATCAGCTGTTCTCATTAGACACCTGCTTGTGGGTGAGTTAGCGTAAGTGTGCACACTCGGACCTAAAGGGATGGTGCGAGACGTCTAGTGGCCTCGTGCAGCCCCCCAAGGGCTCCTCTGTGTCCCTCCCCTTGAAAGAGGCAGACCCTATTCTTCTAGTACCTATGATTTAGAATCACCACTAGATACCGCGTAGGAGACCTTCCAGAAAAATCCAATACTGCCTATTGAGAGAGGAACTCCCAATATTGCCTCACGAGTAATGAACAAAATGGATTCTTAAAATTTTAGATAATTTTATTTTGAAGTTGGCAATGCCTGTCATTTCTCACAAAATAAACAGTAGATTTAGCAAAAGCGATTAGAGAATTTTTCTCAAAGGGTACCAATAGAGTAGTATTTTTGCAAATACATAAGTGAACCAACTGTAAGACATTAAATCTTATCCAGATGCACATGGAACCTCAGCCTGCTGAGCTGGGGCCTGCCTGCGCCATTCCTAGGAACGCAGTGAGGACTTCCCAGCAGGCCACCAGGCACAGGGCCAGGGCCGGGTTCCTAACCAGCACCCTGACCAGCCTCAGCAGCCACTTTTCACCCCACATTGCAGCAGAAGAGCTTTGGCCTGCTGCTTTCCAGTGTTTGGAGTGGGTTTTTTTTTTTTCTTGTTTATTTGTTTGTTTGTTGAATGGGAAAGGGAGCAGATGGGATGGGGGAGGGGACAGTTCATCTGCCATCACCTGGGGCTCTTGGCACTTAGGACGTTGATTATAAGGTCATCACCCTATACCATGCATCGCAGAGTGGATAGAGTTGGGCCCCACCCCCAAGGGCCACTGCAGCAGACCTTGGGGACAGGGGCACATCCATAATGCATGCAGTCTGCACAAAGGTCCCCACTGTGTGTGCGTCCCACTACCATCAGGAACGGTCACATGTACACGTGGACACACGCCAAGGACAGGAATTGAAAGTGCAAGTTCCTGTAGCTACTTAAAGCTAAGTATCCACTCATTAAACTCTAGAAAGCGTCTGTGAAAACCGAGCAGGGGGAGGGCGAGTTCAGAGGGGCTGGGGAGTTGGTTATGAAGCAGGAGTGCGAGAGGCTGACCCGCTGGCTGGTGAGTTGAAATYGCAACTTCAGGAAGCAAACCATAGCTTAATCCAACTCAGAAAAGTAGTTTTCATTGGTTCACAACTATGCATCCAAAAGCCAGTGTTTCTCAATCAATAGAGTATTATAATGCCACGATACTGTAGAGCTAAAATGTCTTTATTTGAAATCAATCATATTAGAAATGTGCTTTAAAAACAAATAAGAAGCCTTTCATATACACACATATGTATGCATACATACGCATATGTGCATGAATATACACATATACATAAATGTTTATATAGACTCTGTACATGCACACACATATGTAGTATTGCTGAATTGTCACATTACTGAGAGGTTGGACGCATGCACATTTCCTATAAATAATTTAGCATGCCAAAAATGAAAAAGTTATTAATTGTCCCTATAAAAAAAAACCTGTAAAATCCTGGATGTTCAAAAATGGGAAAATATCACATAAATTGTGGTCCCTTAATTCAGTAGATTATTAGGAAGCCCTGACAATGAATATGAGCCTGAGGTAGACATCTTCAGAGGTGTCTGCACACAGTTGGAGGGAAATGGAACTCAAGGTGACTGTACACTGGGGTCACAGTCACAGGATCGCTGCTAACAGGGGACAAAGTGTGCAGAAGTACAGCACGGGTCGGGCGGGGTCTGCGAGGAAGGCCCAGGCCTCATAAACCCAACACTCCACCTCACAGGCCCACCCTCAGGTGACCCAGGAAGGGAGGACACAGCGTTGAGGTGGTGGCCAGTGAAGACAGGGAGGGAGACCGCTTCCCAGGGAAACAGGGGTGGCCACAGAGGAGAGGTGACCTCAGCCAGACCCCAGATAGGAGCGTTCACGTGACAAGAATTAGGCAGGACCTTCCAGGGGGGCACAACGGACCCAAGGGAGGGCAGAGGGCTGCAGGGGCGTCCGAGGAGGAGAGAGCGGCAGCAGACCAGGTGGCAGGCAGGAAGCGGGAGGCTCAGGCCTGGGGTTCTGGAGGGCACCGAGGCAGCTGGGTGAGGTGGCCTGCAGAGAGAGGGCCAAGAGTGGAGCCGCAGTGTGAAGGTTGTCCCAAGAGCCCTGGCAAGAAACAGATGGCCTGAGCTGGGCAGCAGGACAGGAAGTGGACAGGAGAGGGAAAGTCACTCACTGTTCTGTCCACAGACTACGGCATAAGGTCTGCCTGGGTGTTTGCTGGACACGCGTGGGCTGTACCTGAGACTGACTGAAGCCAGGGGGCTGGCGGACAGAGCCAGTGACCAGCATCGCACTGACTTATTTATTGTGGTGCTGGGATGGAACCCGGGCCTCCTGCGTGCCGAGCAAGTGCCCTGCCCTGGGCTGTACCTGCACCCCACCTACATTTTAAACAGTGCCCAGGTGATTCATCAATGCGGATCACTCGAGGGCCACTGCTTTTGTGCAGTTGGTAGTGATCTGCCAAGGATGAGGATGTTCAGGGTGACACTGACGCGTCGTCTGCGGGCAGTACTGACATTTTCTCTGATGACGTAGGATCTAGAAATGGCTGCCTGAGGTCCAGACCCGTGGTCAGGTCAGGGCACCATGAAACATTTGTTTGGAGAAACAGAGCAGCTTGGAGCTCAAAAGCAAAGCTGGAATCGTCCACCTGAGGGTCAATAAAGGCCATGAGTGTAGATGGACTCCTTCAGACAGCGTGGATAGTCTGAGGAGGAGCTCTGGGAGCCACCGAGCCCCGGGGGTGGGGGKGGGTGGGCTGGAGCCTTCCCGAGTGGCCCCTCACAGGCGATGCCTAGGGCGGTACCTGCCAAGGAAAGGTGCGCAGAGGAGACTGCTGTCTCAGAGCGAGGGAACATGGAGGCAAGCAAGACACCTCGGAGCTCGGAGGAGCCTCGGGAAGCCCGCAGCAGAGCCACCAACTGGGGAGGCAGAACCTGAGGGCAGGGCTGGGTGGGGCAGGTGCAGACCCCAGCGGCCAGCTGAGCCCAGGAGGCAGGTGTGCCCTCGGTGGCCTCACAGTGGCTTGGAGGTTCTGGAATKGTACTTGCAGAACACTTGTAGCTCTGGGGGAGGCATGAGTGAGGGTGGTGAAGGCCAGACACAGAACAGGGGGTGAGACCCTGGAAAACCCAGGTAGAGAAGGGACGGGCGCCCAGGGGTGAGGAGAGGGGTCCACCTTCCTGCAGCTTCTGCACTGCCCAGGTGCGAGACAGGTCACCTCCAGGGTCCACTGGGAGAGGAGGGATTTCTGTCCTCACTGCACCCTAGACCCCATTTTTAAATATTGGTAGGGTCTAAGGTCCACTGCAAGTCGATGGAAGGGGCACAGCTCCCGTAGCCTAGCGCATCAGACTGCTGCTCTCGAGGCACCACGAGAGGACAACCTGCCTTAATTCACCCGGGCATGGAAAGTCGCAGGGGAGGTCCAGCAGGGGCTGAGCCCTGGGCACCATCTGCTTGTGCTTGCTCCTCCCAGGCTACTCTGGACCACTGAAGGAGATCCCTCCTGARAGGTTCAACACCACGGCCGTGCCCAAGTACTACCAGTCTCCCTGGGAGCAGGCCATTGGCAGCGACCCTGAGCTGCTGGAGGCACTACACCCCAAATTCTTCCAGCCCGAGGGCAAGGCGCAGCTGCAGGACTACAGGAGCTTTAACAGGTAAGCCTGGGCCCGGCACAGTGGGCACACCAGACACCCAGACCTCGCCATCATACCACCCGTGTCTCTGGGGAAAAGGGCCTTTGTATTAAGAAGAGAATCTATGGAGAAATATTGGATGTCTTCTAAGGTTAGTAAGAAAATGAAGGAAATGATTCTGGAATTTGCCTTGATAGAAATCAAGATCACCACTCACACTTTAAAAATGTTATTTTATTAACAGATTGGTGGTAGTTTAYGTGTTGCTTCAAATGACAATGCTGTTTGAATTTTCAGAAATACCTCGTGGGGTTGGGAGAGCTCCCACGTAACTGCAGGCTCCAATTGATTTTCTTGCAGGCTTTAGGCCAGATGAAAGGTCACCCATAAACCTAACGGCCCAGGATTGCAGCACACGCACAAACCAAAACCAGTGCTGCGGGAACACGTCCCTTCTGTAGGAGCGGTGTGCATAATGGCGACCGTTTTCCGTGGTTCTTTCCTCGTAATTCCCATGAGACGGTGGATATTTGAATTGTTACAATCCAGTCTTTGGTCACATGACATTCACCTTAGAGTAAGCTACCTCTGACACTCCAACTCACCCCACAAGAAAAGCCAGCATGTAAGCTGCACCCACGGCACGCTCACGAGGTGCTAGGAGCTCCAGGCTGTGCACTGCTCACCATCTAGCAAAGCAGACCACCTCTGCAGTAAAGGCTTGCTGGGAGGGAGAATGCGCCACAGGTAGGACTTCCTTTCCAGCCGCAGGAGAACGTCATAAAACAACTAGAAACGTTGTGCAAAATTTTTTAAATGATTGAAAGGCTATCAGGGAAGAGGGTCTGAAATACCGAGGACCTGGAGGACAGGAAGTGCAGACGGGAACCCCAGGCCCTGGAGAACTGTGGGTAACATCCTGGAGGACAGGAAGTGCAGACATGAACCCGGCCCTGGAGGACAGGAAGTGCAGATGTGAACCCCAGGCCCTGGAGGACTGTGGGTAACATCCTGGAGGACAGGAAGTGCAGACATGAACCCCAGGCCCTGGAGAACTGTGGGTAACATCCTGGAGGACAGGAAGTGCAGACATGAACCCCGGTCCTGGAGGACAGTGGGTATCTTGGAGGACAGGAGGAGCAGATGTGAACCCCAGGCCCTGGAGGACTGCTGGGTACATCCTGCAGGACAGGAAGTACAGACATGAACCCCAGGCCCTGGAGAACTCTGGGTATCCTGGAGGACAGGAAGTGAAGACATGAACCCCAGGCCCTGGAGGACTGTGGGTAAATTTCTGGAGGACAGGAAGCTCAGACAGGCACCCCAGACCCTGAAGGACTGCTGGATAACATCCTGGAGGACAGGAAATGAGACATAAACCCCAGGCCCTGGAAACAGTGGGTATCCTGGAGGACAGGAAKTGCAAACGGGAACCCCAGGCCCTGGAGCACTGCTGTAACATCATGGAGGACAGGAAGTGCAGACATGAACGCCAGGCCCTGGAGGACTACGGGTAACATTCTGGAGGACAGGAAGCTCAGATGGGCACCCCAGGCCCTGGAGGACTGCTGGGTAATTTCCTGGAGGACAGGAAGTACAAATGTGAACCCCAG